TAGTTGAGGTAAATAGTACATCATAGTTGAGGTAAATAGTACATCATAGTTGAGGTAAATAGTACATCATTGCTCATGTAAATAGTACATCATAGTTGAGGTAAATAGTACATCATAGTTGAGGTAAATAGTACATCATTGCTCATGTAAATAGTACATCATAGTTGAGGTAAATAGTACATCATAGTTGAGGTAAATAGTACACCATAGTTGAGGTAAATAGTACATCATAGTTGAGGTAAATAGTACATCATTGCTCATGTAAATAGTACATCATAGTTGAGGTAAATAGTACATCATAGTTGAGGTAAATAGTACATCATTGCTCATGTAAATAGTACATCATAGTTGAGGTAAACACATAACTTTGTCAAAGAATTTATGAACACAAAAATACATATAAACCTTTTCCACAATGACAATTTCCATGGTAAAATGTTTTACTAACAATCACACACACGCACATCCTTTGGACAGACGTTGCATTTCTTCCCTTTCTCAGGTCTTTCCTCAAATCTCTTTCTCTCTCACACACATAGCTTACATAGCAATGCCAATTGAAAGCTTTCTCGCGCGGCGAAAATTTGGTCCCCGTTTGCGGGCGATTTTGCGGACCCGGCCGAAGCGTGGGTGACTAACTTTGTCAACCTCGGTCTGCTCTATTTCCGAACCAATCCGAATGAAACTCGACAACCAATCAGAAAATAGGGCAAACTAATGATATGTGGACGTTGAAGTTCGTACACATAAATTAACCTATACTTTTGGTGTCGGGAACACTTTCGTATCGTGTACACAGAAAACTATAAGGATTTTGAATTTCAACGCCGAGATGGTAATAGATCTATCTATCCTCTATAGTGTGCTCAAATTTGAACGTTCTGTGTCAAGTAGTTGTTTAGACCCGATCATTTATGCACGACTACCCCCCTATCCAAAGCGGCTTCGCACGGAGACCAACCATTTTCCCCTCACTCTAGCGGCAAATGTATGTGACCTACAAATCCCCGCATGACTTTTCCGCGCCCGTTCATTGGTCACTTGTATTAGGGCAATGGCGGGCGCGCGCATCAGGTTGTTTTTCTCTCTATTCCCCTGTAACATTGCAATGGGGTTTTTCCAGGACGAGGTTATCTCGTCTCGGGGTGTTCGCCTCTCAACGGGGAGAAAGAATTTTTAATTGTACGGCATGCTAGATTGAATTAACTTATCTTTTACGGTTGGCATGGTCTAAAGTCATCATAAAAAGCTTTGTAATTATTTAGTCACGCTGCCGACATATATTCTGAAAGATCCCATGTTGTGATACGATGCTATAAATAAAATGGACTCATCCCGACACCCCTTTTCGCAAAATCGTAATATGTACACCAAAATTTTCATTATAACTACGAAATGGGTAGTCAATCTGACTGCAGAAATGATTTCTACACCCAAAAACACATCGGGTAGCCAAGTTTCTCTCTAACACTCCGATTAATTACCGATATATCGTCGATTTTCTTACAGAATCTGCTACTGCGTGGTCCACGTTTTAGGAGTATTTTCCTATATGTGGGTCATCCATAGTTTGCCGACCTTTACAACCCCATAACTTTTGTATTTATGAACCGATTCTCAAAATTCAAGAAGCATAATTCTTAGAGTTGAACATTCTTTCTTAGGTACCGAGTAAAAAAAGGCTAAAGGGACAAATTAAATTTTCATTGGCATTGCTAGCTTACATTCTTTACTTCTCTTCTCTCTCATTCCTTACCTCTTTCACACATAGCTTACATTCTTTACTTCTCTCTCTCTCATTCCTTACCTCTTTCACACATAGCTTACATTCTTTACTTGTCTTCTCTCTCATTCCTTACCTCTTTCACACATAGCTTACATTCTTTACTTCTCTCTCTCTCATTCCTTACCTCTTTCACACATAGCTT